CCGATCAGATGCAGTGGTGTGAAACACACCGGCACTGGACTCAGGGGCAGTGGAGATCTACTACCTAGAGTGACAAATCACGTTTCTCTGTCTGGAAAGCCGATGGACGAATCTGCGTTTGGGGTTTTGCCAGGAGAATGCTTCAAGTCTGAATGCATTTTGCCAAGTTTAAGATTTGGTGAATGTAGAATTATGATGTGGGATTGTTTTTCACGAGCTGGGCTTGGCCCCTTAGTTTCAGTGAATGCTATAGCATACCCAGACATTTTGGAAAATGTCATGCTTCCAACTTTGTCAGAACAGTTTGGAACAGGGCCACTACTATTCCAACAGGGCTGTACACTAGTACACAAAGCAAGGTTCATAAAGACCTGGATGGCAGAGGCTGGTGGGGATGAACTTCCCTGGCCTTAAAAAGAGCCCTGACCTCAACCTGATAAACCACCTTTGGATTAAATTAGGGCAGGGACTGAAAAACAGGCCTTACTGTCCAACATCAGTGTATCACCTCACAAATGAGCTTCAGGAAGAATGGTCAAAATTCCCACAACTTAAACTTAGAGACTTGGACAACTTTTATTGTAATTTGTATACATAGAGTTTTTACTTTTGTTAAGCACAGCTTTTCAGACAGTAAATTAACATTTACATTCCATAAATGCAGCTGTGATCAAATGTAAATAATGTGGGAGAAAAATCATGGTTCAAAAATGCATTGATATGGAATTTCAGAGCATTAATATATATTTGGTGCAAAGATGCAGTATTTTTGGTGTTATCAATGTGATGCGGTGTGTGACATGATTTAGAGTTTTTTCAACAGTTCAGCAGTATGAATGGCAGTGGGAAAGAAGCTGTTGCAGAATCTGTTGGACCTGCATCGAATGCTGCGAAGCCTCTTCCCAGAGGGCAGCAGGGAGAACAGTGCATGGTGGGGGGGTGAGGGGTCATTGATGATGTTATGGGCGCAGCGCTGGGACAAAATGTCATTTATGGAGGGAAGAGGAGCCCTGATGCTCTGTTCTCACCACTCTTCTCACTTTCTTCCAGTCTGAGGCGCTGCAGCCTCCACACCACACAGTGAGACAGCTGGTCAGAACGCTCTCTATGGTGCTTCTGTAGAAGATTGTGAGGATGGATATGGGCAGGGTGGCTCTCCTCATACTTGGCAGGAATTACATGCGCTTTGGTGCCATTTTGACTAGTGAAATGGTGACTAGTGAAATGGTGAAATGGTGACTAGTGAAATGGTGAACTGGTGACTAGTGAAATGGTGAAATGGTGACTAGTGAAATGGTGAAATGGTGTTCATTGCTCAGGTGAAGTTGTCTGTGATATGAACCCCCAGACATGTGGTGCTGCTGACCTCCTCTACAGCTGAGTTGTAGATAAGCAGTGGAGCGTGGTTAGGCTGATTCTTCCTGAAGTCGACAGTGATCGCCTTCGTCTACTCCACGTTCAGGATAATCGTATTTGCATGAGTCCACCAGCTGCTCCTCCTCCTCTCTGTAGTCCAGGTCATTGGCGTCATTAATGAGGCCCACCACCATGGTGTCGTCTGCAAACTTCACAATGTGATTGGTGGTTACCCTGGGGATGCAGTCGTGTGTCATCAGAGTGAACAACAGGGATGCAGCCTTATGCTTAGGGTGATGACATCAGAGGTGTTTTGTCGAATCCGCACAGATACCTTGGGGACAGCTCTCCTTGAAGAGCTGAAGTTGTTCTAGCAGCAAAGGGAGGTCCTCTTATGAATTAGGAATGGAGGTGTCCAATTAGCTATTTGTGAGTAAAGACAGGTGAGCAAATGCTTTTGGCAATAAAGTCTATCTGGAAGTCTTAATAAACTGGGAACAACAAGGGTTTCCTCAACTTTGGAAACAGTATTTTTAATCCCATGAAACTGGGACAGACTTTTTTCCTCTTGAGGTGTAAAAGTTGTTGACCTGTCCTCTCATTTTCTTACAGGAGAAGAGGGAGGAGCAACTAGATGTTGCTGAGGGAGAGACAGCAGGAGTAGAAAATGGCTTTTTGACCCTTGGTTTTGAAGCCTGTGATGTAAAGATGGAGCTTAATTGCATCCCCTTTTGCCAGAATAAAGACCACATTTTTCTTTTTACCTTCTGTAAACAGATTGCAAATAATTTTGATATGTAAAGAAGCTGTGTCTGTGTTATTGGGCAACTTTTGTGGAACAGAAGGAGGGCTGTAGCACCAGGGGGGAAGGAGGGGAAAGGGATCAGCAGATGGTTGACTGAACTAAGACAAAGACCTTTGCTAAAGCACATTAGTGTTTCAAATGTTTTATGTGAGTATTATATCTGTTTTAACTTTAGAGAGCAACTTCACAGTCTGATTCATTTATAGGTCCAAAACAACCTGTTAACTTTTGGTTTTATATTTTTATATGTTTTCCTTCACAAATAAACAAGCCTTTCAAATTATATTTCAACCCCATAAGAATAATTTAAATTGATATTTAAAAATGTTTTTCTTTTAGAATAAATTCCTGTCTTCAAAAAAAAAACTGAGCGGTCATATTTTTTTCCCTAAGCAAAACCCTCATGGAGCCAGTACCTAAGCCCTATCAATCAATATGTAGTTTAAGAGACCTTCACGCTACAGACTAGAAGGAAAATTAAGAAAAGCATTTCAATTGCAATGTTAATGTGTTAAAAATATTGTTTATAAGATAAATATAACATATAAAAGACAAAAACATTAAAGATGCATGCAATGCTCTGTTTTATGAATAATGTGAAAAATCTAAAGACCTAAATTCTTGACTGAAATTCACCTCATGCACAATTGATACAGTTTGCAGTTTAGGCAATAAAACAATGAGAAAAATAAGTTAATAAAATAAAAACAAAAACGTTTTTTTAATTTCCCCCTTCTTAGTACATGCATCTTTTGTGAGGCTGAGCATTGATTGCATTGTTTTTATGCACACTTTGTCCAGTGGACAAAATTCTACAAACATCAGAATAAATGTCTACATGACACGAGGGAAATTGCACCACTTTCTGTATTTCCCCCTGTAGCCTTCTGCATATTAATACCTCACATAGAATATCGCTTCCGAGGCTGAATTCATACATTTCTAAATCTTAAACATCATCAAACACTAAATCAGAAGTTTACCACATGTATTTATATTTGACTTTTTCTGATTAAGACGACAAAAGAATATGAAGTACTATTAAATTATTAATTACTGCTATTTAAACACCAGTAGAACAGATTACATTGAATTTCTTTTGTGAAAATTACTTAAACATAAGATGAAGGAGAAAAAAATGAGCAACTCTTTAAGACGGTTTTAATAATGTATAATAATGCTGAATTTTTAAATGGCACTATATTATGCAACATAGTAGGGCTTCCACATGATAAATTGCAGTTATATCATGCTTTAACTGTGTAAAATGAGGATGTCTCTGTTTTCTATTTGGTCGACATCATCTTTTTTGAGCCAAAACTGTTCAAATTTTCTTCCATCCAAGATACTCTTATCCTAAACATGTATTCTTATCCTAAACACACATCTTCATGAAGAAACCAATCCCTTCTTTGACTTCCTGTTCAGATTTCAAGAGGAATAAAGTATTCTCTCTCTCTGCAGCCACTGTGCATGTATTACATCTGTCCACCCGGATGCAAGCGTGTCTTCATTTAGCGAAAAAGAAAAAAAAAATAAACCTCTTGGGTCAGCGCACAGATCTGCAGTCAGCTTCTGTGGATTTGAAGTCTTCCCACAGGCCTCAGAGTGCTTTGCAGACAAATCATCTGGACTCCATAAGTCATCCAGAGTGTCACGAGCTAAATATCATGCCAGTGAAAAAAATCTTTAATAAAAACAGAGTCTGCTAACTTTCACTTCATTTACACAATGTTTTCAACCCAAGACAGAACAAGAGAACTATGTTGCTATTGTTCCTTTCTTTAGAGCTGTCAAGGCCAGATTATGTATAGTCTCTGAGTGAAATAAAGCTCACTTCAAAGGGAGAGAAACTTAAAAAGATGGCTGCAGATTGAAAGGATGGAGAAATAAACGAGTGTGTGGGAAGCAAACAGCGGATCAAGGAGACTTTTGACAGATTAAGAGAACCGTTTTTGAATAATGACCCCGTGCGCATGGTTATCTGTTGAGGATGCAGTGTTAGTGCTTTCATTTTCCCCATCATTGCATGCAACTGCACTTAAACTCAGCCCTAATTTGACAACGGAAAAAAAACTGCATGAACCACTTTGGTCACACTTAAGATCAGGATTAGAAACACGAAAAAAAAAACTTTTGCCAAAGGAGGTGAAAGAAGTCGAGTCAGGTCGGCTGAAATTCAGCAGGACATTTTAAAAGCACACCAGATCAGGCTGTCACTTCTACTGAGCTCTTGTTGGCCAGATGGATTTCGGATTGCGCCTCCAGATGTGCCCAGAATCCGTCTGAGCTCCAAGCAGAGTGATGCCCAAAAAACAAAGGGCTGCCAGACGACTGATTGAGAAAACGGGGGATAATTGTAATCAGGCTGATGCCAGTTTCTATTATGATCTCAGATCCAGGCCTTAATGCTGCTCAAGCACACTGAAGGAGGTTGTTATAGGCTAAAAGGATCAGAGCGCAATAAACCAACAATTTTTGATCCGGGTACTCCTAATCTGCTGCTGGTTGGATGTGATGTAATCTCAAAATCTTGGATTAAAATTACAGACTGACACAAATGGAAAAGGAGGAAGTGTTTATGCTGTGGTCCATTAGGGGTTAACAGACTGTTGCAGGCATCTGAGAAAAGGAGTCAAACAAAGCTGTTATTTTTGTTACCATTTACAGGTAGATTAACGTTTTGAGCTAATGTGTAAATACGTTTGGAACATTTCCCATAATTATTCTCTGCAGAGCAAATCCCAGCTTGGTTAGTTACATATGCAACGAGATTGAAACAGCTCTCATCTGAAAAAAAGATGGTTCTGAAATGCTGTGTTTTTGTTTTGTTTTCCAGATAATTGCAATGGTCCTCTCGCATCAGCGTTGCCACACTCATCGTTTCAGAGCTCATCTCAGTCCTCGGCGAGTTATTCTGCCTTCTATGCCAAGCTCAACAGGAGAGACGGTAAGTGCATACAGCTTTACAGCTTTGTTTGGAAGGAATAAAAGCCCTTTGAGAAATATCTGCTCATCTGAAATTTATTCCAGAATCAGCTGTTCTTTTAGCAACTCTGTGTTTAAGAACTTAGGAGACCACATCCTGTGCTCGCTGGGATTTCACTTTGTTTCCCTCTAGTGTTTTTTTGTTTGCTGTAAATGATTTTTAGAGGGAAATTAGTTTTGCAGGTAATAGTCTTTACAGAGAGCTTTAAACATTAGGGTCTAATTTACAAATATACTTAACTACTTATATATTGGAGTTTTTGCAAAACAAAAACATTGGGCTAAATGTCTATGGGCTACAGTCAGGCTTGGTTCCTATAGGAAACACAACCACAGTGCAATGCTTAATCATAGCTTAATTCATGGTTAAATGTTTTGTGACTCTGACATGGACCAGAACCCTGTCCAGGGTCTAGAGCACACTCTGTTCCAGTTGGATCAACTAACAAATAATGTATCTGGTTCTTCTAAATGAATCTAAAAAACAAATGGAATCCAAATATTTTTTTTTTTTATCTATATTTATCAGAGCATCCAGGTTCCTCTCACTAGCACTTCATGCCTTTATGTTTACCTTGGGTATAGATGTCAAGGACTAAGAGGTTCGTTTGTTTTCAAATGGAAAAAAATAAAATGAGATTGTGTTTATGTAAGGTAGATGGATGTTGGTCAAACAAACAGAAAGACTAAATGCCAGTAATCATAACTGAAGCACATTAAATCCTGTAGAAAGTAAAAATAAGCTTTTATCACATTAACTAAACTAATTGTTTGTAAATGAAGTGCAGAGGCACTGGTCAGCATAAGCAGAACTACACATTAGATGTTTGGATGAGTAGTTGTAAAGATATTTATTCATTAATACTTCATTCAAAGCTTTATCTTTGGGATTTAACAGTTTCACTCATGGTCTGCCTCTTAGCCACTGGCTGCCAAGATGGGAAAAGAAACTTGATACAAATAAACCTCCAATCTTAGTAGCAGAATGATTTACAAATTGCTTTATTACAAAAACTCTTCCTGCAAAAACTGATTTTATTTGTTTTTTTTAATATATGCTATCCTTTTCATCAGAATGTTTAGGTAGTTATAATGACTAATTTTTGGTTTTCAATTTTTGAATGCATCTCTAATGTGATGTAAGGATCCATTTACCTTAATCAATCAAAACAAGAGATAATGCCTTTAATGTATACATGTTAGTCTGGAAAGGCCAGAATTACAGTAATGGAAATACAAAACAAAACAAAAATATCTTTTTTTTTTAAACATATAGATACATCCAGCTCAATTAGGACATAATAAAAAGCATTGTTAAAAATGTGCTCCCTCGCAGTGCCAATTTTAACTGTGTGCTGCTGCTTTATGAATAATGTTTGTGCAAGCATAAACTTCTTTCAGATAGTGAGAGTCTTGGGCCTTATGATCATGAACCTGGTAAATCAATCTTGCTGGCTGAGCTTCTTAAGTTAAGGATGGTATACATGTTCACAATTTTCTCCCATTTTCTTAACATTAAGACTCTAGTTTTTGTATTTTGTCGAAGCCCCAGAACACGCTCAGGGATCTTTCCCATCAAACCATTCAGTGAAGTTGACAAACTCTCTTAAATATTGTTCTACAACAGGGAAATGTTGAGTGATTCAGGGAACACTTGTCTTTATCTAATATCCCTTTGGGTGCAGTCAAACAGTCATTTTGTTAACTGAGTAAAATGGCTGAAAGGTGTCTCAGTGACAGCCATAATAATAGCACATGGAATTCCCTAAAACATTACGAAACGGTTACCTTAGAAAAAAAAAGGTTATTCTTGACTGTCCTTTATAAGAAAAAAAGTATTTTAGAGTAAGTAATGAATTATAGATAAATTATTGAAAGAGTGCTAAAATATTAGATAATAAAAACACAGAATTGTAGTTTTCATCATTGTATAATCAGGAGGTATCTTGCTGCCATCACCTTTAAAGCTGCCTCTACAAATACAGTTTTAAAAATCAAACTTTCTTCACTTAAAACTGTTCTCTGAGTTGTTTGAATGTGCAGTGTTAGTTTTTTCTGCCCAGATTTTTTTTTTTAACCAGTAAACATTTAAAGTTGAGAGCTGAGGTGAAGGTAGGAGCAGCTGGCAGCTTTGTGATGTCCAATCAATGTTTGCAGGGTGAAGGGAACACGGAATAAGAGGGATTTTTATCGAAGGAAATATCAGCTCATAGTCGACATAATTATATCCATCTCATTATGGCATTTAGCAAAAAAATAAAATAAAATAAAAAATAAATAAATAGATTATATCTGAGCTGCATTTAGATGATGCTGACAGATGTGCTTTGAGCTAAACAGGGCAATTTTTTTCCCTATTCAGTTTGATGTCCCTGTATAAAAAAACAGACTTCAGGTGTCTCAGAACTCCTACTGTCTGTTCCCATACTGTCTGTCTCTGTCTGTTCTCAATGGTAAACCCTCTCTGTACTTTAACTTAAAGAAAATAGAAGATGATTCAACCGTAGAATAAGAATCTTATCTTTTTGTTCTTGATTTGCTCCAGAAGCAGGAGGTTGGTCTCCTATGGTGACAGACCAAGACCCCTGGCTCCAGGTGGACCTCCGGGAGCAGATGGAGGTGACTGCCGTGGCTACGCAGGGACGTTACGACAGCTCGGACTGGGTCAGCAGTTACCTGCTGCTCTACAGCGACACGGGTCGCATCTGGAAGCAGTACAGACATGAGGATGGATTGGAGGTGAGTCGGCACTCAGATATTTCAGTTGCTGATTTGCTTTAAAAAGTGAAATGTATGTAAAATAATAGCGGTGTTGTTTGCTGAGAATTGTTAAACAGTTTGAGGCAAATTCTGGCCCCTTTGTTGCTGATGGACAAGGTTAATGTTTTGGATAAAATGCCTCTGCTTCTTTGTTGAGTGTTAGGAAAAAAAAGGTCAGTACCACTTGTGCGCGTGTTAGATACGTGTGGAGCTGCAGAGTTGATTATAATAAATTAGCATAAACTCTGGGAGCAGGGAGCGAAGGGAGCTGGGCTCAAAAGGTCACTAACTGTTTGTATAATCTATAGAGGAATAGAAATGAGGAAATGTCAAGCTGTGGTTTTGCAGGGAGCCGGCTCTTGCTACGCATGCCTTCACTGCTAAGAGCCGAGAGCTAATCTCAGCACACAGGTCTAATTCCTTTGAGAAAGTAAATAACATATTTCAAGCACATTGGGTTATTATTGCAGAAATGTGTGAAAGTAATACTATTATTAAAAACTACCAGTTTTATACAGTAGTCACGGCTCTCAGGCTTCCCTTGTGAAGTAACAAACTCACACTATGTTTGTTTTGTTTGGGTTTTATATCTTAGCCAAGCACAATCAAGTGCATTGTATTAAAGTAGAGTGACAAAATACCTGGTTTTATTTATTTTATGTTGGTTCTATGAAAATTATTCCTACTCAGATCCCAGCAGCAAATAAAACCAAGTTTTAAGATACTGTTTTGTTTTGTAAGATTTAATTAAGGATGTCTGCCTGTGTAAATCCCTGCTCTTCTGGGTAATGGCAACCATGAAAAAGTCTTAAATCAGAAGTAGCTGGACTCTCGTTCAGTTTTTCTGAAGATGTTTCGACATTTTCCAGGGGTCTTGGTCAGTTTTGTCTGTTCATGCTGGAGCATTCTGTAGTTGGACTCGCTGATGTTTTTAAACACCATGAAGGTTCATCCTCTTAAATACATTCCAAATCAGATGAAAAATTAATGACCTACCCATCTCCAGCCTGGGTTACTGGAGTCTTTTCTTCTGTATGGTCCATGTGTACTTATGTAATTCCTTTTATGCATGACTAAGATGCTTGTAGATGCTTGGAAGCTGAAAAGTCAACCCTTCCCCTCTGTTCATTGATGGCTTTTCCCGTCTGACAAAGATGGCTTCCTTCACACCTCTTTCAAACTATCTGTCCTCGCTATTTAAAATCGGAAAATGTCGGGCTTAAAATATGTGTCCTTTGTCCTTGACCTGCAAGAATTCAGCTGAATCTAACCAGAGTTACTGACACTCCTGTTCTGCTCCATGTGATTGCTGAGGCTCAAAAATTAACCGAATGTGTTTGACATATATCTTTTGGATATATCCACATGTTTTTAGTGAATTCACACATCTATAAGTTCTTTTCTTTTTACTCTGCAACTGAGAGGATCTTGTCAACCAGGTAACTCAGCTTTGTTAATAGAAAGTTTTTGTTGTGGTGATGTATGCGAGTCAAAATAAACTATTTGTCTTGTCTATGTATAGATTTTCGGTAAACCTCAAAAATTTACTCTCCCACTATTCTCAATGTATACAGCAGAAAGGACCACCTGTTATTCTTGTCATCCTCTCAGTTGAACTGTATGTTGCTGTTTACTGAGTTAATGCCTCAACTTCTTGGATTTGGATTGTGACTCAAGTGGAATACTCATATCTGAACCAGTGAGTTGGTTTTATTTCCTCGTGTATATAGATGTTTTGCTCTGCTGTCCACCTCCTCCATGTAGATATCCGCCACAGTGGGTAAAACTTGTGCCCCTTGTGCTTGGTCTCAAATGATGGACTCTGGAAATAACGTCTTTGGAATTTTGTATGTGGTGTGGAGTGTTTCCAATCAAAGGAGCCAAAATTGTTTTTGCAAGCTTGTTTGTAACCACGTTAATGCTGCTGACAATGGCTCTGAGGTGGACCCCTTCCTTATTCGTTTTTGGAAGGCCATGAATATGTGGTATGGCCTCCCCTGGGTACAGTTTACAGAAGAGGGAGTGATTGTTGGCTTTTGTCTTTTCATTTTCTTGAGGTAATAAGTTGGCCTGAATTAATCGGATTAATAGTGTTTAATAGATCATTGAAATAATCATCAACTAATTTAATAATTGATTAATGGTTAACTAGAGTAAACTGGAGTACTCTAAACATGCCTTTAGATTACAGAGCGACCCAATTAGGGCAGTAATTATACCAACATTTTGAAAAACCCTTAAACATTTTTTTTTTTTTAAATAACATTTTTATTGAGTGCATTTCAAAGATCTTATACATTCAACACATCCATTTCCGACATAGACTTAACATAACCAAGTTAAATTCACAACCAGTCCATGGATGAATTAGATGACAATTATATTCTTGGTAATCTTACCATTTTATCCTAACACACGTGCCTTCATGTGAGAAGGAAAGAACACCTCCTTTCCTCCTTATTCATATCTACAAGTGTCCACTCCAATAGAAATACACTTTTTTTTTTTAACAAAAAAGAAAAAAAAAAAACAAAGAACAACAAAAACAGATAAAAGAAACAAAAACTATACAACACTAACTGTGTGGCAATAGGAGGTTCTCAGCCCTAATTTTAATCATACAACAAAGTCTGATCTCACTGATGATATGAATTTCACCCAGTTTTTCCCAATTTTTCTTGAACTTGCCAGATTCTAACCTCAAGGAAAAAGTTAGCCTTTCCATTATATAAATATCATGCATTACTTCAACCCAATCATTCCTTGTTGGAGCCTCTGTTTTCAGCCACTTCCTAGTTATAGCTTTCTTACTGGCTACCAACATGATCCTGAAGATATATTTGTCCTCTGAGGTTGTCAGCTTATCAATTCCTCTTCCCATGAATAAAGTGTCGAATGTTGGAGGAAGTTTCACTTTCAGGACTTTCTCCATACATTCCTTTAGGTCCTGCCAGTATATATCAATACTAGCACAACCCCAAAATACATGAAGGTGATTGGCTCTTTCTTCTCCACAGCCTCTCCAACATCTAGCATCTTGGTTTTTCTTTTGCGCTGGAGAAAAGAAATATCTCACAATGCACTTCCAGCCGAATTCTCTCCACGAGGGGGAACATGATGTTTTCCAGTTTTGCCTAAGTATCCCCTCCCATGTCTCCACCGTCCACCTCCCTCCCGTCTCTTTTTCCCATCGTTCTTTATATATAACGTATTTCTTCCTTTCAGGTTCTCCACTCCTGAATATAATTTTGATATTACTTTTTTGCCCAAATTTGATTCATATGCTCTGATAAACATCTGAATTATCCCTGTTTCCAATTCTTCAAAGCTTATCTTTTTTTTTATTTCCTCAATAACATGCCTTACTTGCAAATACCTAAAGAGGTTTTTATTTTCAAGGCCAAATTTTCTCTTTATATCTTCGAAGCTTATTACTTTCCCTTTTTCAATCAGTTCCCAATATGATTTCGGACCCCTCGCCCACTCTCCAAATGTTTTGTCCATTGTGTTCGGTTTAAAATCTGAATCCTGGGCTATCCATCTTAATAGACTAGTCTGCTCTGTCAAGCCGTGCTTTGATATCATTTCATGCCATGTACTAATTGACAGTTCTGTCCATGGATTCATACCCTTCTCTAATTGTTGTTTCAATTTGCTGTCGTTGATTATGGCTTGTAGAGGTATTTTGGGTGACATAGCACATTCTATGTCTTTCCACTTTGATTTATATTGAGGATCACATATATTCAGAAGAGGTTTTAGCTGTGCCGCCTGGTAATAACTTTTCAGACAAGGAAGGGCTAAGCCCCCACGATCCTTGGCCAGCTGTAATGTTCTAAATTTAACCCTTGGTCTTTTCCCTTGCCAAATGAATCTCGAAATTAATTTATCCCATTCTATAAACTCTTTATCTGTCACCCCAACCGGAAGAGTGGTAAAAAGAAACATTAATCTTGGTAACACATTTGTCTTAATCATTTCTATTCTGGAGGAAAAGCTTGTAAATGGGATTAAATTCCATTTCCCCATGTCTGATTTTATTTTGGTAATTAGGGGGTTGTAGTTGCAACTTTTTAAGTCAGATAGGTTACGGGGCAGTTCTACTCCTAAATATCTCAGAGACTTTGATGACCAGTCCCAGTTACAATTCTTTTTGATCACTTCGTCCGGAGTGTAGTTCCAACATAGAACCTGGGTTTTCTTTACATTAAGTTTGTAGCCCGACAAGAGGCCAAACTCGTCCAAGATCTTTTTTAGGGCTGGGAGCGAGCTGTCTGGCTGAGAGAGGTATATTAGTACATCATCCGCAAACAAAGCTATGTTTTGTTCCCCCCCTTCCATATGTATACCCTTTATATTTCTATCCTGTTTTATCCATTGGCTTAGAGGTTCCAAATATATTGCAAATAAGAGTGGACTAATGGAGCAGCCTTGGCGACAACCTCGTTCTAACATGAAGTGGCTAGATAAACTCCCATTAATTTTTATCCTAGCTGTGGGTTGGTGGTATAACGATTGTATTGTCTTGATAAAAATTTCACTGAAACCAAGTTTTTTCATTACCGCAAACAGAAAGACCCACCTGACGGAGTCAAAAGCCTTTTCTGCATCCAAACCTAATATAACTGCCTCAGTTTTCATTTTAATTATATTTTCTATCACTAGTAATGTGCGTCTAACATTATCTTGTGTTTGTCTCTGTTTTATGAAGCCTGTTTGGTCTAGATTTATTATGTCTGGCAAGATTTTTTCCAGGCGTCTAGCCATTATTGCAGTGAATAACCTATAATCTAAATTTAACACACTAATTGGTCTATAGTTGGCACATTCCAGTTTATCTTTTCCATCCTTAGGAATAACAGATATATAAGCTTCTTTCCAAGAGATCGGTACCTCCCCACTCTTCAATACCCAATTAAAAGTATTTTTTAACAGTGGGATCAGTGGTTTTCTAAGTAATTTATAAAATTCCGAAGTGT